AATAACAAGAAATGAAGATATAATAATAAAATATAATATAAATAAGAAGATAGGAAATCACTACGAAATAAACAATGAAGAATCAAATGAAGAGAATAAATAACATAAAATATAATGAAGAAAATGAGAATAAAACAAGAGAATGAAAACAACACCAATACAAATGAAGATGATAAAATTACAAGAAGAAACGAAAATATATTTAAATAAGAAATAAACAATAAAAAAGAATAAATGATAAAAGAAAGACATCTATATAAAAAATAAAACAAACAATAAGAATAAATGAAAAACCGAAATGATAATGATAAAAAGAACAATCTAATAAATACTAATAAACATGAAAATGATAAAAATCAGCAAGATAAAATAATACAAAATAATAAACAAAAATAAAAGAAATACAATAACAAAGAGAATAAAGAAAAAGAATAAAGAAATAACAAAACATAATAATTTAAGTTTTAAATAATGATAAAAGATACAACGAATAATATGAAATATTTAATGAAATATTAATGAAATGAAAATATAAAGTAATTAAGCCTATAAAAAACATAAGAAATAAATGAAAATGAAAGATAAAATATTTGAGGCAATATCTCTGTTAAAGTATTTTCTAGTATCAGCTAAAGAAGTAAGTAACAAAAAAAAGAAGAAAGCAATTAGTCTAAGAAAACAAACAGATAATAACATTTCTAATTTATTAGAAAAACCCTCTATACAAGATGGATAATCCAAAAACATAGAATTAATACTTGCCATAGAATTTATTAAACATTGACTAAATTCTTTGTGTTGCCAACATCTTTTAAGAATAGTGATATGAGAAACATCTTTATTTTCTATTAAGTCACAACATTGGAATTATTCAAATAAATATATTGGATATATTTTGAGTTTATTATACTCTAACAGTGGAAAAGAAGCCTTTATAAATTGGTCTTTATAAAATTTGAAGAATGAGTTGATTTGTCTAACTTAATTCTTTTGTTTGCCAATACAGAACCAACAATTTTTAATTTTGTTGCATGGTTAAGATGAGTTACTAGATTGATAAGAGATATAAACACTAACTAGACAATAGAATTAATAAAGATAACTTTTTGAAAAAAATGAGCCGACAGATGTTAAAGTTTTAATTGTTTCAACTTGTAATTTTACTGAGTAAGAGTTAATCATCTGTTGAATAAATTGCACACAACCACAAAAGAATTTACTGGTGGTGTAATACATATAGCTCCTTTGAGTTACTTCTAAGTTATAAATTAAATACTTGATAAATTGAATTTGGCTTGAAAATAGTTGGTTCAAAACTGAGATAATGTGTTGATTTTATTAAACTTTAATTTTTAAACTGAATGAAGTGAAATTCTTTTGTAATTTAGTATTTTATTTGAATAATTATATGGTAGAAACTATTTGTTCCTTAGTACTATGAAAAACTAAATACTTTAATCCTGAAATATGCTTAGTACATTATAGTATAAGTGGTAATGTCTATTTTAAATGCTAAATACTTGTTATTCAATAATGATAAATTAACAAAAAGATAAATCAATTTCTGTAAGTAACTGTTGTTTTATAAGATAATATTTTGCAAATACTATTATACCAAATCTTATCGCTTATGTTAGATGAGTATTATGAGGCATTTCTTAAGTGGTTGTCCGATTACCATTTCATTTGAATATGGACAAACTAAACAACAAGCAAAAAAAGTCAAAAGTGCTTTAGTCACAAAATTTTAAGAAAAGAATTAGGAAGAGTTTTAAATAATAATGTCTGAAGAATACCAAGTAATTGGTCTATGCCTCCATTAATAAATAACTTACAAACATTTGCTTCATTTAATCAACATAAAGAATAACAAAATTGAGAAAGGACTTGTTGAAATAATGTTTGTTAGTATTGTCTCTGAATCTGCAAATGGTCATAATGCAAAAAGCCATGAAGGGTTGTAAAATAAATTTAAAGGACCAAATAGCTATATTTATGAGTTTTATGAAAAGGGATTGTAAAACTAATTGGAGTGAGAGAGTTGTAAAATTGTAACGTGATAAAGTATTCATAAAAATGACACACCAGTACTTTTGTTAAATGGAGAGATTTACATGACTTGTGTTTAACAAGGGTATTAAATTCTTCAAATAACTAGTTTCTTGTTTTGATAAACAAACTTTTCACTTTTAAATGTAAGCGACATCAGTAATTCAATAAAAGAAATATAATAATCATAAAACTATGACTGAAAAAAATGAAATGTGATAAAGCTTATAAACTTCTGGAGTGAAAATTTTAATAGAAAACAGTAATGTGGGTGATTGAGAAACTTTATTTTCTACACTGTAACAATATTTAAGTGATTCTGTAATAATTTGAAGAAAGAGCTTAATATCATCAAAATTATTGGTTAATGTATATTGTTCTTGATTAATTTGTTGAAAAAGAAAGGAGTGAGAAACCATAAAATTTTTTTTCAATATGAGAGACTAAACACAAGTGATAAGAGTTGTACAACAAAGTGAATTCTGATTATGACTGTTGTAATAATACAAGACACACAAATTTATCAAAAGTATTCAAATATGAGATTAGAGAATTAACAAAGAAACAATTGTTTCAATGAGTGGGTCGAATAATAGCTGCTCAATAGCTTCCCCATAAAGTTTTTAATAAAACGGCTAATATCTTCTATATGTAAACACTTAAAGTAATAATTAAATTTTTCAACTTGAAAGTAGTTTATATTATGTAATTATTGAAGCTATTTACTAAGCATAGAAACAAGTTCTGTTTAGTTTTATAATTTTTGCGATTGTTGAATGTATCTTCCAAAGTTTGTTAATTTTCTAAAGTTATATATTTACAAAGACATTGGAATTAAAATTTGTGTTTCATTAGAATTTGTTCATCATATCTTTTTCCTTTAATAGCTTTTATACTGTTGATTTTTCTTATTGAATTATGTTGTTATGGAATGAAATAAGAGTTGAATTAGAAAAATAGTTATTCATATTTTTTAACAAAAATCAGTTAAACAAATAAAATGGATAGTATAAAATATAATTCAATAAATTAAAAAATAAGAGAGAAAGAAATACCATCTTAAAAATTTTAAATTGAAACAAAAGGAAATAAGATGTCATATAAAGATAAAAGGGATTTAGATAGTCAAGAGAGTGAAGATGAATCTGATGAAAATGAAATTCAAAATAAATATATTGATGCAGAAGCAGAAGAAGATAATGAAGATGAAAGTGAAGAATATCAAATGACAGAAAAAGAAAGGTTGAGCATTGAAGAGAGCAAACGGTTATATGGTTCAAAAAATTTAGCAAGAGAAGATTTTGCCCAAAAACTAAGAAACCCAGAGAAATTAGCAGAGGAAGCTAGACAACGAGATGAAGAACAACGTTTAGCAGAAATGAGAAGAAATGAAA